GGTTGGCAAGCATCCTTTATTATAGGAGATATTCCTTATTTGAGAAAGCTAATATAATGAGCAGAACATCAAACATCCCATATTCTGGAGTAAGCGGGTGATAAGAGGAGCAGGTCAATATCCAGCTTGTCAATATCCATCTTGAATTGTATCCCTCTTGAATTGAATTGTAATGCCTAGTACTGGTCACAGTACTCCAGGTGAGGTCTGAACCAAAGCTGAATAGAGTGGTACTATTATTTAATGTCTAGATTGCCACAATTCAAGAGGGATACTAAGAAGCTGGAGTGTGGCCAGAGGAGAGCAACCAAAATGGTGAACTTTAGTCACTATCCGCACAGCAGCTGCTGAGGAAGGGAATTTTCACAGCAACAATATATTGTTATAAGCTATTCCTATTGTAATTCAAATAATTTTGATGATGGCTTGATCTTGAATGCACAAATAAGATCCAGAAGCAACTCAGAAAGCCTGTTGGTATGGATCAACATAACAGTCTGCATTTTTTGGACTCTCCATGGCAATGTAACTCTGAAGACTGTCACAGTGAACACTTGCCACTGAAATTACTACTATACCACTGCTAAAAGTCTGTCTATTCATGTTATACAATATAGAAGCACACATTTGGGATTAAGCGGCAGTTTTGGAGAGTCCAAAGGTCTTGCTTCTGGATAGACCAGACTTCAAGCACCTTGTTTGTGTGTGTTTATGACTGAATAATAACTAAAGATGAGTACACACTCAAAGTATGCTAAGTTTCAATCACATCAATAGAAATATATAACAGTTTTGGGCTAGCTTTATAGAAATACCTTGATAAAAAGTTCTCCAGGGATTGTTTTTTGTCATCCTTGCAGACAATGCCTTCACGTTTCTGCTTTTCCATATCTTTGATGCGGGACTGGAAGGTATCAATCAAATCAAACACAGACTTCATGGCTATGGGCACCTCATAGTACTGCTATAAAAAGAAGTGTCAAGAAAAGATTTAATTGCAATCAGATTTCCAGGCATCTGTATTCCTATTGCAACATATTAGTGAAGCCTCATGCATAGCAGCAGATTAATACTGAATGTTCCCCAGGGCATGATCTGAAGACATGTGTAGAATTGCCAATGCCTGCAGCTAATAGTGTCTGAATTGAACCTGATAATCTCTTAAGCATGCCACCTCAAGTTTCATACTGAAAGAAAAATTGGAATATGCCATGTATACGTAAAGCCAAATTAGTGCTGGTGAAGGGGGGACTCATGAGCACCTTCAACAGCTTTGTAACAGTGTTGTAGTAGAAGTGAAGACCACAACTTGAGCATATGCTATCTCTGCCTACAATTATTTTTGACTAAAGTCCGTTATCTTTGGAGGACAGAAAAGGAAGACAACCTTCTCACTTTCTGCAATTCCTCTTGCCTCCTAGAATACTATCTCAGCCATCTGCTCTGCTTTGTCCTAAACCAGGGGTAGGCAACCTTTCCCCTTTAAGGGCCGAGGGACTTCAGCTCCCAGAAGCCTCAGCCATGTTGGCCAATAGTCCCATGTTGGCCAATAGCTCCTGGGATTCTGGGAGCTTAAGTCCCTCGGCCCTTAAAGGGGAAAGGTTGCCTACCCCTGTAAACAATCCTCACTTGTATATCAAACACTCCATTGTCTACAATAGGAGTGGAGTACCTTTGGCCCACCACGTGTTTTGGACTTCAATTACCAGAAGCTTCAAACAAAATGACTAATAGTAGAAGATGATAGTTGGGTGATAGTTGTTGCCCAAAGACTGTAATTTTGCTAATATACTCCTCCCTACCTTGGCCCTCATATCAGTGTCTGTCAGAACCATGAAGAAGTCATTGTATGTCATTCCATATTCTCTTCTCAGTTCATTAATGAGATGCTGGTCCATAAGATCTTCATCTTCTACCACTTTCATAGGCTTCTCATTGTCTTAAAGGAAAATGAAACGTTTGTTGAACGAACCAACATTTTGAACAAACTAACATTACTAATTTCAATGAATAACAAGTTTCTTCAACTTTCCTCTTGTTCATAAAAAAATAATAATAAATTTATTTCTAGCCCGCCCCTCTGCTAAGCAACCGAGGCGGGGTACAACATATTAAAACAGGCAGCAGTTAAAAACATTCCCTCAACCCTCTCCCCAGCCCACTCCCCCTTAAAACTGAATTAAACAAGCAAAGATTAAAATACAATAATACAATAAAATATCAAAATAGAATAAAAACAAAAAGCAGCAACAATACAAGGGAGAGGAGTGGCACTCGCTTCTGACTGGGCCTTCCAAGACTATCACATCAATTATATGCAATAGGTAATTTTTACATCCTCAGAAGCAAACATTAGAACATCATTTGTATGGAGCTACTATTGTAAAAGTGTAAAGCTACATAATAGGGAGAAGACCCATAAGAAACCTAATTGCATAAAGTCAAAGACAATTGTTTAATTAACATGGGCAGAACAATTCTATGGAAGTCAGGCTGAAGGACATTCATGGTGAACAAAAGCTTTCTTGCACATGTGTTACCCAGGGCAGAAAGTTGTTAAATTTCCTCCTTGGGTTCCAGCAGAAGGGGAAATAACCAGGCCAATTCCAGAACTGATGTTGTTTCCCCTTGATCTATGAATATATATGACTAAAGAAGGAAGAGGCTTTGGTCCAATGAATCCAAAGCCATTCTGATAAAAGACAGGCATGCCCCCTTTCTGTTCTTACTACTAACAGGGCAGTCATGGAAGTGGATAGCTCTACTGTTGTCCATTGAGAACCTCCATGAGTGGACCTCCCTCTCTGTTAATGGAAGGGACTTCCCAAGTTCTACAAGACTGTACTGAAAATCAAGATAGAACTAAAATTGTACAATGGTATATACTCCAATGGTACATAGTGGGCCTCGGCAGACGGCTAATTGGGCCGTCTCCGAGGCCCGGAAGAGGAGGAGCCGCCGCACGTTCGGCGGCTCTTCCTCTTCCTGAGGGCGCACCCGGAAGTGCCGGCCGTCCGCACGGCCGGCGACTCCCAGTTGCCCTCACGCCGCGGCAGCCGAACGCGCCACGGCGTTTGAGCCGCCAAAAGTGCGCCCGCCGCTGTTAGGGCGCACTTTCGGCAGAATCTAAAAAAAGGATCGCCATTTTAGCGGTCCTTTTAGATTCGCTGGGGATGCGCCGCCGTCCGGAGGCTGAACTCCGGCGGCGGTCCGGACCAGGGCGTCTCCGACGCCCTCGTCTGCATCCCCCTACTCTTTTTCCTTTAAGGTTTGTTTTCAAATCTTAAAATGATTATTTACAGCTTACATGTCAGCCAAGGCTGAACCACATGTGCAAGGCTTGTTCAGAGCTTTGGCTCATTATTTTAAAAAGCAACACATTACTCATTGGTTGTTAACTTTTATGAGAAATGCATTACTCATTAGTTGTGAGTAACAAGTAATGTAACATATTACAAATGTGTGACACTCAGTTTTTTTTTTTAAAAAACTAATGCTCCACACAACTCCCTGCATAATATTTCTGTAATGTAAGCATTATTTTTTAATGTGAAAAATAACATTTGTTTCATTTTTAATGTTGTACTGGTTATTCAGAAATGAAAAAGAGAGTAACAAGCAACAGTGGTATTTTTATGCATTACTTTTAAGCTGTGAACTACTTATACGTGTTAACAGAATGAGTCAAAATCAAGTACAGCTCAATGGAATGTTCCACCTGAAATTAGGATAATATTCTTAATTGTATAATTGTTGCAGAGTCCAAATAAAATCTTTATAGTGAACAGTGTATTATTTATTCAAAGACATAGCTGTGTTAATCCATATCAGTATAAAAAGATATCTTTTAGCACCTTTGAGACTAAATGGGAGAAAGATATTTGTAGCATAAACCTTTGTAGACTGGCTATTTCACCAAATGCATGCTACAAACACTTTCAGTCTCAAAATGCTATAGGATCCCTCTGTGTATTATTAGTTATCTTAAATTAAACATAATTATGAATAATAAAAGTTTTTTTAAAAAAAAAATTAAAATGCATTTGAAAAGACTGGAGAAAAATTGGACGGATGCAGAGAGAATATGCTAAATTAAAAGTTCTTTTTACAAACTCAACTGTTTTTAGTTAATACTGGGATTTGTACATTTTAATTTAATTAAGGCCGTGTATGTATATTTGTTGGGAATATAGGCAGGTATAAATTACACTATGCATGCAGTGAGTACTTGGACAATACAGAACCAATATATCCTGCTGATGATGGAAGGAGGGAAGTTCTTCATGAGAACTGGTGCATATGCACAATAATGCATCTACAATAGTATATCAATGCACACTGTTCATTGCACATGTAGGAACAATGAGCTAACTGCTTTGTGCTCTCATCAACAGGATTCTGACCGTAGTCTTTCATGCACCCAAGCTTCTATGTCCCTTCAAAGATTGGTTTAGTTGCAGTCTTCACAGTTGCTGTGTGTGTTTTCTCAGCAAGAATCTTTTGCTCTGAGCTATTTCTGTTGTAGTCCACAATATTTGGGGCTTATAATGTCATGTGTTTATGCATGAAAATGTTGCTTGATTCATTGTCTGTATATTAGAGTATTACGGTAGGTAGACAAAGCTAGTGTGGCATAATGGTTTGAGCATTGGACTACAACTCTGGATACCAGAGTTCAATTTTCATTGTGACCTTAGGCTTTCAGCCCCAGGGGAAAGCAATGGCAAATTTCCTCTTCACAACTCTTGCCAAGATAGGTTCACCTTAGGGTCGCCATAAGCTGGAAATGACTTGGAGGCACACAACAAAAAGGTAGCCAAATAGCTGTTGTGAGGGCACAGGGAAAGAATGGAATCAAAGCAAAAAGCAGCTTCATTTATATACTGCTTCATACTGTGCTATGGGATGTCTAAGCAGCTTACAACTGTAAGATCATTGCCCCCCAACAGTTGGGTACTCATTTTAGTGACCTTGGAAGGATGCAGGCCTGAATCTAGCCTGAGCCCTGGCTAGTATTGAACTCACAACCTTGTACAGTACAGTACAGTACAGGCATTTAACCACTGTGCCACAGGGCTCTAGGAATGCTAGTGAACTCTGATTGGAATGATTTAGCCCTGGCCATGTAATGGTTAAATGCCTGTACTGCAGCCAAGGTTGTGAGTTTAATACCAGCCATGGGCTCAGGCTTGACTCAGGCTTGCATCCTTCCGAGGTCGCTAAAATGAGTACCTTGCTGTTGGGGGGCAATGAGCTTACAGTTGTAAACCATGTAGGGAGTGCTTAAGTGCACTGATAAGCAGTATAGAAATGCACTACTTGCTATTGCTTTGAGGAGATTTGCATAAGGCTGGTAAATGATAGTTGGGGGTCCAGTTTGAGTGGGAAGTTGTTTCCCCACCTCAAGGATTTGAGTCAGACTAGTGAATTTGACTGAGAGAAGGGAGTTTGAGTAATTGGTAAGGATCTATGAAGCAGCAAATCACAACAGCAGCTAGTTAATAGCATTTTTTTGCTGGGATTTATCACATGGAAGATGTTGCCTCTTTTCCGTTGATATCTCATTTGGCAGGCAATTATTTTCATTCAAGCAAAACCTCCATGGATGAACTCCTTTCCAAAGGATTTGAGCTAGACTGGGGTTAGATTAAAGAGAAGGGAGTTTGAGTGATTGGTAACGGTCTAAGAACATTATCACACAAGGCAATAAACTGCAATAATGACTGGTTAATAGCATATTTTGCTGAGATTTATCACATGATAGACCAGTGGTGGCGAGCCTGTGGCATGCATGCCAGAGGTGGCACTGAGAGCCCTCTCTGTGGGCATGCATGTGGTCGACCCAGCGCAGAGTTTGCCAGAGTTCATTTTTAGAAAGCCGGAGGAACTTTGTGATAAATAAGTGAGTTTTGGGCTGCAATTTAGCCACTCGGTCTCTAAAAGGTTCGCCATCACTGTGATAGACAGACATTGTCTCTGTTCTGTTGTTATCTCGGTGGGAGATTGTTTGCAAGTAATTCTTTTAATTTACATTATGAATGACTTCCTTTCCCACTTCTGTGATGTTAGCATTTGCAGCAATGAATCAATTCTACTTTAAATCTAATTTTGGGTGGTCAGTGGGTGGTTTTTAGGTGGTGCTTAGGTGCCCTTTGTTTGCCAGTGATCAAAAATGAAGCAGTTCTTAATTTGAGCAGACTAGATTAAACACTGGCAGATTAAATGCTTTCATTTGCCACCGATTAAAAGGTAAAGGTATTCCCCATTGACAAGTTTGTCAGGTTGTGTCTGACCATAGGAGGCGGTGCTCATCTCTGTCACTAAGCCAAAGAGCCAGTATTGTTTTTAAATTGTTTAAATGTGTTTTAATTTGTTATTGATTTAATATTGTTTTAAGGGGGTGGGGTGGGAATGTTGTGATTTATTATGTATGATTTTATTCTTGTGAGCCGCCCTGATTGGGTTTCCCAAAGGGTGGGATACAAATAAATTTAATTATTATTATTTTATTATTACTCTGTGACCATGTGGCCAGCATGATTACACAGAACGCTCTTTACCTTCCCACCGGTGGTACCTATTTATCTACTTGCATTGCATGCTTTCAAACTGCTAGGTTGGCAGAAGCTGGGACTAGTGACAGGAGCTCACCCCATCATGCAGCACCTGGGCCTCGAACTGCCAAGCTGCCCATCTTGCAATCAACAGAGTCAGCATCTTAACCACTTGAGCCACTGCCATCAATTAGTCTATCCTAAATCAGGAAGTTCCTCTGTCAAGAAATAAGGGCCCTTTTAAAGGCAAGACTTCTTTTAATTTATATTTTTTGGTGGGTGTCTCTGAGTGTGTGCCAAACTAGGCACGCACTGGATAGTAGTGGGTGGGCAATGCCAAATGCTGCATGTGATAAGGCAGGGGTAGGCAACCTAAGGCCTGGGGGCTGAATGTGGCCCCCCGAG